AGTTCCTAGACAAAAGCATTGCTGTCTAAAAGGATCACTGTCTTTGACCAAGTTTTTGATCACTGTCTTAAACAATTTGGAGTAAAGCTGCTTCACATTATATAGTTGTTCAGGCTAGTGTTACACCCTCAAGTGGAGAGTTACCCCATAAGATTTTGAATAACAATAGAGTGAGTGCTTTGACTGTAACATTTTAGTCCTGCATTCTGAAGTTAAACACTCTGGTCAGTGAATGTGATGCCTGTACATCTCATCCATCCCAAGGTGACCTGCCTCTGTTAGGCCTCCAGCTAGTCCTTGAATCGTGAGCCGAAATCTGAATATTAAAGAAAGAGAAAGAAAAATAAAGTGGCAATTAACTTACAACATGAGGATATAGGGACGCTGATAGCCAGAATTATCCAGGCAATGTCCATCTTGCTGAGACAGATGGTTGCTCTGTGCTGGGGTTTGTCCCCCTCGGTGACATGGGAGATGTTTCCTTGCACACCTGGTTTCCAGGTCCCGGCAGGAACCAGTCTGTTCAGGAAGTTCCCGGTGGCGGTGGAGCCAGCTGTGGAGGTGGAGCTGGACAACCTGGTGGCAGGCACTGAGGAGAGAGCACTGCCCAGCGACGTGGCATTGGTCACCGCGCCGTGCTGCGTTGGAGTGAGTCCCTCGGGGTCTCCCGCTGACGGGGACGAGATGCTGACGTCAAAACTGGTCTGAACGGAGTGACCAGCTGCTGCTGTAGCAGATCCAGAGCCAGCAAACAGAGGGACATTTGTACTGAGATTCAAGGTTACCCAAGAGTTGTTTTTGCTCAGCATATCCCACATGCCATAGCGGGTGGGTTTAAAAGGCACCGACACTGCTTCAGGATCAGTTGATGGTCCAGCAGTTGTGGTGGCAAAATCTGCCTCCTGCACTACTACTTCGGTCCCATCCCCTCGCTCTGCTTCCCTAAGGCTTCCCGAGGTGTTGCGATGGGGAGAAGGGTCTGAGTGTGTAGTTCTTGCCAGCCCCATTCCATTTGGATCGCTGGATGCTGTGGTCTGGGACTGAAACGGGTGGTCTGTGAAAGGGCTCCTCAGGGTAGGGAAGGGAGAGTGCAGGGTCGTCTTTAGGTAAGGCTCTGTCGACTCTGAGAAGTTGCCTTTGAAAACCTGGAATATTTTCCCCTTGGGGCGAGACTGTCCTGAGTACAAAGCACTCTGGTTGTACAAATGGTAAGTTTCCTTCTCGCCGATGCGAGGGCCACTCTCTTGCTCTTGCCCGGTGGAAGGGGCTTTCTCCACCAGGCTGATGGGGTGGGACATGGCTTGAGCAGACGTGGGAAGGGGCTCTGCCGTGTGGTGGTCTTTGTGGTGAGGTGTTGTTCCCATGGCTGTGGTTTTTTTGGGGGGGTTTTGGGTTTTTTTTGGGTTGTTTTGGGGTGTTTTAGGGGGGTTTGGAGGTTTTTTTGGGGGGGGTCTTTGGGGTTTTTTTGGGGGGGATCTTTGGGGTTTTTTTGGTGGGGGGAGTTGGGGTTGATTTGGGGACAGCATGGCTTGTGTATTTGGCAGGAAGGAATACCTTCCATGTTCTGCAGAAGGACAGAAGAGTTAACATCCAACTTTGTCTGCTTCTCTGAAAAGTAGGAAGAGAAAGACAAATCTGCGGGAGCTGTGGTGACCCCATGGCCATGAGAGTGATGAGCAAGATTACAGTTTTTTTTTTTTGGTTTTTTTGGGGTGTTTTAGGGGGGTTTGGAGGTTTTTTTGGGGGGGATCTTTGGTGTTTTTTTGGGGTTGTTTTTTGGGGGGTTTTTGGGTTTTTTTGGGGGTGTTTTGGGGTCCTGAGCCCCTCTCCCCGGCCAGACGCGTTCCCGGGCAGCGAGCCCCGCGTGCTGGGGCTGGCCATGGTCCCCGGGCACCACATCGTGTCCATCGAGGTGGAGCCCCCCTACCCCTGAGGGACCCCCGCGGCGCCCCAGGAGCAGCCAGGGACCCCGAAACACCGGGTGGACCCCGAAACACCTGAGAGACCCCAGAAACACCGGATGGACCCCAAAAATAACTGAGAGACCCCAAAAACACCAGAGAGACCCCAAAAACACCGGATGGACCCCAAAAACAACTGATGGACCCCTGGATGGACCCCAAAAACCCCTGAGAGACACCAGAAACAACTGAAAGACCCCAGAAACAACTGAGAGACCCCAGAAACACCGGATGGACCCCAAAAATACCTGATGGACCCCTGGATGGACCCCAAAAACACCTGAGAGACCCCAAAATACCGGAGAGACCCCAGAAACAACTGATGGACCCCTGGATGGACCCCAGAAACACCTGAGAGACCCCAGAAACACCGGAGAGACCCCAAAAACATCTGAGAGACCCCAGAAACACCGGAGAGACCCCAAAAACAACTGAGAGACCCCAAAAACAACTGATGGACCCCAGAAACAACTGATGGACCCCAAAAATACCGGATGGACCCCTGGATGGACCCCAAAACAACTGAGAGACCCCAGAAACACCTGATGGACCCCAAAAACATCTGAGAGACCCCGAGACCAGCTGAGAGACCCCAGAAACACTGGATGGACCCCAGAAACAACTGATGGACCCCTGGATGGACCCCAAAAATATCTGAGACCCCAAAAACACCGGAGAGACCCCAGAAACAACTGAGAGACCCCAGAAACACCGGAGAGACCCCAAAAATAACTGAGAGACCCCAAAAACACCTGAGAGACCCCAGAAACAACTGATGGACCCCAAAATCTCCTGATGGACCCCAAAAACAACTGAGAGATCCCAAAAACACCTGAGAGACCCCAGAAACAACTGAGAGACCCCTGGATGGACCCCAAAAACAACTGAGAGACCCCAAAACCACCCAATGGACCCAAAACCACCGGATGGACCCCAGAAACACCAGAGAGACCCCAAGAAACCCCAAAAACACTAAGAGAGACCCCAAAAATACCAGAGAGACCCCAAAAACACCGTATGGACCCCCAAAACCAGCTGAGAGACCCCAAAAAACAACTGAGAGACCCCCCAGTGCCTCGTGGACCCTCTGGATGGACCCCCAACACCTCGAGGGACCCCCCCCCAACACCTGATGGACCCCCGAGTTCTGGGACAGACCCCCACCCGATGGACCCCTGGACGAACCCCAAAACCATTGGATGGACCCCAGAAACACAAGAGAGACACCAAAACCACCTGGTGGACCCCAAAAACACCTGATGGAACCCATAACCATCTGAGAGACCCCAAAAATACCGGAGAGACCCCAAAAACACCGGAGAGACCCCAAAAACACTGGAGAGACCCCAAAAACACCGGATGGACCCCTGGATGGACCCCCAAAAACACCGTATTGACCCCCAAAACCAGCTGAGAGACCCCAAAAAACAACTGAGAGACCCCCCAGTGCCTCGTGGACCCTCTGGATGGACCCCCAAAAACACCGTATTGACCCCCAAAACCAGCTGAGAGACCCCAAAAACACTGGAGAGACCCCAAAAACACCGGATGGACCCCTGGATGGACCCCCAAAAACACCGTATTGACCCCCAAAACCAGCTGAGAGACCCCAAAAAACAACAGAGAGAAACCCCAGGGCCCCAGGCGCCCCCCCGAGGTGTGTCCCGAAGTTGTCCCCAGCTGTGTCCCAGGTCTGTCCCCAGCCATCCCCAGCTGCCGTCCCAGCCGTGTCCCCTCTGTCCCCAGCCGTGTCCCCTCTGTCTCAGCAGTGTCCCCAGCTGTCCCCTCTGTCCCCCGCTTGTCCCCAGCTGTTCCCTCTGTCCCCTCTGTCCCCACTGTCCCCACCGTGTCCCCTCTGTCCCCGCTGTCCCCGGCGCTCACCAGGGTGAAGCCGTCGTAGATCTGCATCAGCTCCTCGGTCTTGTACTGCTCGAGGACGATGACGCCGGCCAGGCCGCCGCCGCGGCGCCGCGCGCAGCCCTCGCAGTGCACCAGGTACGTGTTGCGCCCGCCCGTCTCGCTCGTCACAAACAGGATGTTGAACACCTCCACCTGCGCACGGCACGGATGGCATGGGGACGGGCAGGGGATGGGCAGGACAGAGCATGGCCAGGGGATGGTCAGGGATGGGCAGGGGATGGGCAGGGGATGGGCAGGGGACGGGCAGGGATGGCCAGGGGACGGGCACGGATGGTCAGGACAGACCACGGCCAGGGGATGGGCAGGGATGGGCAGGGATGGGCAATGATGGGCAGGGGATGGCCAGGGGATGGGCAGGGACGGGCAGGGGATGGGCAGGGATGGGCAGGGGTGGCCAGGGATGGCCAGGGGATGGGCAGGGGATGGGCAGGGGATGGTCAGGAACAGCCCAAAGCCAGTGGATGGTCAGGGACAGCCCACGGCCAGGGGATGGTCAGGGGATGGTCAGGGGATGGCCACGGCCAGGGGAATGGCCAGTGGATGGTCAGTGAATGGCCAGGGAATGGTCAGGGGATGGTCAGGGGATGGTCAGGACAGCCCAAAGCCAGGGGATGGTCAATGGATGGTCAGGGCATGGCCAGGGATGGCCAGGGGATGGCTGGACAGCCCACGGCCAGGGGAATGACCAGTGGATGGCCAGCACAGCCCACGGTCAGGGCAGTGGTCAGTGGCACAGCCAGGGACACCCCGCGGTCACAGTGATGGTCAGTTAATGGCCAGGGACACCCCGTGGTCATGGATGATGGTGTGGCAGTGCCACAGCCAAGGACAAAGCCACCCCAGGGCCACGCCCCGCAGTGTGGCAGTGCCAGGCCCAGCAGTGTGGCAGTGCCACCGCCAACGGTGTGACAGTAATACAGCCAGTCCCCAACAGTGTGACAGTGCCAGGCCCAGCAGTGTGACAGTGACACGGCCAGCCCCCAGTGCTGTGGCAGTGCCAGGCCGTGCCCCATCCCCACAATGGCAGTGCCGTGCCCTGTCCTCATTGCCATGGCAGTGCCCTGTCCCTGTCCCTGTCCCCAGCACGGTGGCAGTGCCCTGTCCCTGTCCCTGTCCCCAGCATGGTGGCAGTGCCCTGTCCCTGTCCCCATTGCCATGGCAGTGCCCTGTCCCTGTCCCCAGCACGGTGGCAGTGCCCTGTCCCTGTCCCCATTGCCATGGCAGTGCCCTGTCCCTGTCCCTGCGGCGGTGGCAGTGCCCTGTCACTGTCCCTGTCCCCATTGCCATGGCAGTACCCTGTCCCTGTGCCTGTCCCCATTGCCATGGCAGTGCCCTGTCCCTGTCCCCAGCACGGTGGCAGTGCCCTGTCCCTGTCCCTGTCCCCGGTGGCACTCACGTCACACTCGTTGCAGTAGTAGGCCGGCTCGTCCTTGACGCGGCCCTGGTAGGCGATCTTCTTCCCCGCGCGCACCAGGCTCTCGCGCTGCACCTGGCAGTGCTTGATGGACTGCAGCAGGCAGTACCTGCGGGGACACGGGGACACGGCTGAGCCACGCCGGCTCGTCCTTGACGCGGCCCTGGTAGGCGATCTTCTTCCCCGCGCGCACCAGGCTCTCGCGCTGCACCTGGCAGTGCTTGATGGACTGCAGCAGGCAGTACCTGCGGGGACACGGGGACACGGCTGAGCCACCGGGACACGGGGACACTGGGACACTGGGACACCGGCTGAGCCACCGGGACACTGGGACACCGGCTGAGCCACCGGGACACCGGGACACCGGGCTAGCCACCGGCACACCGGGACACCGGCTGAGCCACCGGCACACCGGGACACCGGCTGAGCCACCGGCACACCGGGACACCGGGCTGAGCCACCAGGACACCGGAACACCGGCTGAGCCACCGGCACACCGGCTGAGCCACCGGCACACCGGGACACGGCTGAGCAACCGGCACACCGTACACCGGCTGACCGGGCTGAGCCACCAGGACACCGGGCTGAGCCACCGGGACACCGGCTGAGCCACCGGGACACCGGGACACCGGGCTGAGCCACCGGGACACGGGGACACTGGGACACTGGGACACGGCTGAGCCACCGGGACACGGCTGAGCCACTGGGACACCAGCTGAGCCACCGGGACACTGGGACACCGGCTGAGCCACCGGCACACCGGGACACCGGGCTGAGCCACCAGGACACCGGGCTGAGCCACCGGGACACCGGCTGAGCCACCGGGACACCGGGACACCGGGCTGAGCCACCGGGACACGGGGACACTGGGACACTGGGACACGGCTGAGCCACCGGGACACGGCTGAGCCACTGGGACACCAGCTGAGCCACCGGGACACTGGGACACCGGCTGAGCCACCGGCACACCGGGACACCGGGCTGAGCCACCAGGACACCGGGCTGAGCCACCGGGACACCGGCTGAGCCACCGGGACACCGGGACACCGGGCTGAGCCACCGGGACACGGGGACACTGGGACACTGGGACACGGCTGAGCCACCGGGACACGGCTGAGCCACTGGGACACCAGCTGAGCCACCGGGACACTGGGACACCGGCTGAGCCACCGGCACACCGGGACACCGGGCTGAGCCACCAGGACACCGGGCTGAGCCACCGGGACACCGGCTGAGCCACCGGGACACCGGGACACCGGGCTGAGCCACCGGGACACGGGGACACTGGGACACTGGGACACGGCTGAGCCACCGGGACACGGCTGAGCCACTGGGACACCAGCTGAGCCACCGGGACACTGGGACACCGGCTGAGCCACCGGCACACCGGGACACCGGGCTGAGCCACCAGGACACCGGGCTGAGCCACCGGGACACCGGCTGAGCCACCGGGACACCGGGACACCGGGCTGAGCCACCGGGACACGGGGACACTGGGACACTGGGACACGGCTGAGCCACCGGGACACGGCTGAGCCACTGGGACACCAGCTGAGCCACCGGGACACTGGGACACCGGCTGAGCCACCGGCACACCGGGACACCGGGCTGAGCCACCAGGACACCGGGCTGAGCCACCGGGACACCGGCTGAGCCACCGGGACACCGGGACACCGGGCTGAGCCACCGGGACACGGGGACACTGGGACACTGGGACACGGCTGAGCCACCGGGACACGGCTGAGCCACTGGGACACCAGCTGAGCCACCGGGACACTGGGACACCGGCTGAGCCACCGGCACACCGGGACACCGGCTGAGCCACCGGCACACCGGGACACCGGGCTGAGCCACCAGGACACCGGAACACCGGCTGAGCCACCGGCACACCGGCTGAGCCGCCGGGACACCGGCTGAGCCACTGGGACACCGGGACACCGGCTGAGCCACCGGCACACCGGGACACCGGCTGAGCCACCGGCACACCGGGACACCGGGCTGAGCCACCAGGACACCGGAACACCGGCTGAGCCACCGGCACACCGGCTGAGCCACCGGCACACCGGGACACGGCTGAGCCACCGGCACACCGTACACCGGCTGAGCCACCGGGACACCGGGACACCGCTGAGCCACCGGCACACCGACTGAGCCACCGGGACACCGGGAACACCTGGGGCATCTGGGACACCCGGGACACCCGGGACCCTTGGGGCACCCACCATGGGGACACCCGGGACATCTGGGACACCTGGGGCACCCACCATAGGGACACCATCATCAGGGACAGTGTCACCTGTGGCACCAGTGGCACCTGAGGCACCCGGGACACCTGAATCACCCACCATGGGGACACCGTGTGCCCAGGGACAGTGTCACCTGTGGCACCTGTGACACCTGACACCCACCATGAGGACACCTTCACCAGGGACAGTGTCACCTGTGGCACCTGTGACACCTGAGACACCCACCATGGGGACACCGTGTGCCCAGGAACAGTGTCACCTGACACCAACACCCGCTGCAGGGACACCTTTACCAGGGACATTGTCACCCTCTGTCACAAGGACATCATCACCAGGGACACTGTCACCCACTGTGGGGACACCGTCACCAGGGACTCACCCACCGTGGGGCACCCGAGCCACCAAGTCCCCCTGCCCCGCTGTGTCCCCATCCCATGTCCCTGTCCCCATCCCCACCCTGTCCACGTCACTCCTTCCCCGCGTGTCCCCAGGTGTCCCCGCGTGTCCCCAGGTGTCCCCAGGTGTCCCCGCTCACTTGATCATCTTGTAATGTCCCCGGTCGCTGATCTTGACGGTCCTGGCCACGTTCCAGGACACGTGGATCATGGGCACGATGGACTTGACGTTCTTCACCTCGTTCCACTCGTAGCGCTCCAGGGCCAGCTGGTACTGGTACGCTGGGGACAGGGACAGGGACAGGGGACGTCGCGGCCACCGCGCCCCCGGGACACACGGAGCCCCGCACGCTCCGTGGCCACCACGTGACAGCGCCCACCGTGTGACCCCGATGTCACTCCAGTGTCTCCAATGTCCCCATTGTCACCCCAGTGTCCCCAATGTCCCCAGTGTCCCCTCACCTGTCAGTGTCCCCATGTTCCAGGCGATGTTGTTCCCCCCATGATGTCCCCATGTCCCCAGTGTCCCCAGTGTCCCCGTGTCCCCAGTGTCCCCGTGTCCCCTCACCTGTCAGCGGCCCCACGTTCCAGGCGATGTCGTTCCCCCCATGATGTCCCCATGTCCCCAGTGTCCCCTCACCTGTCAGCGGCCCCACGTTCCAGGCGATGTTGTTGCACCAGCCCGTGGCCTGCACCCAGTGCACGGTGCCGGCGTTGATCCACACCAGGTCGCCGGGGCGCTGCACGAAGCGGTACACCGGGATGTTGGAGCGGTACAGGTCCTCCAGGATGGGCCACCACGAGCCCGTCAGGTAGTCCACGCCGTGCTGTCAGCGGCGCCTCCTTCCAGACCATGTTGTTCCCCCAGCGTCCCCAGTGTCCCCAATGTCCCCAGTGTCCCCAATGTCCCCAGTGTCCCCTCACCAGTGAGCGGCCCCACGTTCCAGGCGATGTTGCTCCAGTATCCCCAAAGTCGCCAGCGGCGCCGGGTTC